TGGGGATAGTGGGCAGCCTTGTCTGGTTCCTGATTTCAATGGGAATGCTTCCAGTTTTTCTCCATTTAGAATGATGTTGGCTGTGGGTTTACTGTATATAGTTTAATTATGTTGAGGTAAGTTCCATCCAGTCCAGATCCCTCTAGGACTTTAAACATAAGTGCATGCTGAATTTTGTCAAAAGTCTTTTCTGAATCTATTGAAAGGACAATGGGTTTTTGTCCTTGAATCCATTTATTTGATTAATGACGTTTATAGACTTGCATATATAGAACCAGCCCTGCATCTCAGGCATAAAGCCTACTTGATCATGGTGAATGATCTTTTTGATGTGTGTCTGTATGCAGTTTGCTGGTATTTTGTTGAGAATTGTTACATCTATGTTCATAAAAGATATGGATCTATAGTTTCCTTTTTTGTTTGTGTAAAACCCAGTTTGGGTATTAGAGTGTTGCTGGCTTCATAGAAGGAATTTGGGAGTCCTCCCTCTGTTTTATCGTTTTGAATAATTTACGTAATATCAGTTGGAGGTCTTCTTTAAATGTCTGGTAGAATTCTGCTGTAAATCCATCTGGGCCTGGGCTTTTTTTAGTTGGGACGCTTTGTATTACTGTTTCAATTTCCTTATATGTTATGGGTCTGTTTAAACTGTTGATCTCTTCTTGGTTTAACTTTGGTGGTTCCCATGATTTCAGATATCTATTTCCTTTAGATTTTCAAAATTAGTAGTGTATAGGTTTTTAAAAGTTCTCTTATAATGGTCTGGATCTTTTGGGTGTCTGTTGTGATGTTTCCCCTTTCATCTCTGATTTTGTTGATTTGGATTTGCTCTTTCTTTCTTTTGGTTAACTGGACTAAGGGTCTGTCTATCTTCTTTAGCTTTTCAAAGGACCAGCTCTTAGATTCATTGATCCTTTGTATTGTTTTCATTGTTTCTATTTCTGGTCTGATTTTTGTTATTTCTTCTCTTCTGCTGAGTTTGGGTTTCATTTGTTCTTGCCTTTCCAGTGTCTTAAGTTGCAGTGTTAGGGCATTTATTTGGGTTCTTTATAATTTTTTTTTTCGGTCTTTTTGAGACAAGGTCTCCTTGTAGCCCCAGCTGTCTGGAACTCAATATGTAGTCCAGGCTGGCCTTGAAGTCAAAGAGATCCACCTGCCTCTGCCTCAGGAGTCCTGGTATTAAAGGTGTGCTACCACACCTGGATCTTTCTAATTTTTTTAATGTAGGCACTTAGAGCTATAAGCTTCCCTCTTAGGGCTGCTTTTAAAGTGTCCCAGAGGTTTTTTTGTGTTGTATTGTCCTTTCCTTGAATTCCAGGAATTCTTTTATTTCTTTCTTAATTTCTCCTTTGACCCACTCATTGTTTAGGAGTGTGTTGTTCAATTGCCGTGAGTTCATGTAGTGACTAAGGTTTTATCCAGTGTTGATTCTGAGCTTTATGGCATTATGGTCCAATAGAATGCATGGGATTATTTCAATTTTTTTGTATTTGTTGAGGTTAGTTTTGTGGCCTGGTATGTGGTCAATTTTTGAAAAAGTTCCATGGGGTGCTGAATAGAAAGTGTATTCTTTGGTGCTAGGGTAGAAAGATGTCTGTTAGGTACATTTGATATATGGTATCATTTAATTCAGTCATCTCTCTGTTTATTCCTTGTCCAGTTGAGCTGTCTAACAGAGACAGTGGGGTATTGAAGTCCTCTACTATTACTGATTTGGGGGGTAATCTGTGTCTTAAAGTCCTATAGTATCGCTTTTATGAATTTGGGTGTACCAGAATTTGGTACATATATGTTAAGGACTGTAATATCTGGTTGGTTACCTGTTCCTTGGATCAGAATAAAGTGGCCCTCCTTATCTCTTTTGATTAGTTTTACTTTGAAGTCTATTTTGTCAGATATTAGAATTGCAACTCCTGCTTGTTTCTTAATGCCATTTGTTTGAAATATTTTTTTTCCATCCTTTTACCTTAAGGTAGTGCCTGTCCTTGAACGTGAGATGGGTTTCTTTCATACAGCAAAGAGACCGATTTTGTTTCTTCATCCATTCACTTAGCCTGTGTCTTTTGACTGGGGAGTTCAGTCCATTGATAAAGTTATTATTGAAAGATGTGTATTGGCCGTCATTTTGATTGCTGTTTGTGTTCTCTGTCTAAGTTTGTGTTTCCTAGATTATACCTTTACTTATTTTCTTTCATTGCCCCTGAGGTATAGTTGTTTCTCTCTCTGCTCTCTGTATTGCTTCAAGTATTCTTTGAAGGGCTGGTTTTGTGGCTATGTATTCTTTCAGGCTATTCGTGTCATAGAAGACTTTTCTTTCCCCCTCAACTATAATAGACATCTTTGCTGGCGAAGCATTCTGGGCTGGCATCTATTGTCACATAGAACTGGAAATACCTTGGACAAGGCTCTTCTGGCTTTCATAGTTTGCACTGATAAGTCATCTGTAATTCTGGTGGGCTTTCCTTTGTATGTGACTTGTTGTTTTCTTTTGCTGATTTCAGTATTCTCTCTTTGTTCTGCATTTTTAGTATTTTTACTATGATATGTCTTGAGGGTTTCTTTTCTGATCTTGTCTATTTGGTGTTCTATGTGCTTCCTGTATTTGTATAAGGATGTCTTTCCTTAATTTCAGGAAATTCTCTTCTACAATCCTGTTTAAGATCTGGTCAACACCATTAACCTGAAA